TTAGCTAAGTTTCAGAAGTTGGATTGTTTGGACTAAAACAACGGATCCCGAGAGCAAGAACCGAAGACGTTGAGAAGAGGTGAAAACGAGGTGTGGGTGCCGCTCACCATTGGCGGACTTGGCGCCAAGCAGCACTGCCTTCTGCCCGGGACTGGGCTGCCAGCTGCGGTCCAAGCCGTTCACCTGCTCGCACCAGCACCGGCAGCACGAGGCATGGGGAGGAGAGGTAAGTGAGCTGATGCGAGGTGATGAGTGGTGATGCACCGTGATGCATGGTGCACGCTGATGCATGGTGATGCATGGTGCACGCTGATGCATGGTGATGCATGGTGCACGCTGATGCATGGTGATGCATGGTGCACGCTGATGCATGGTGATGCATGGTGCACGCTGATGCATGGTGATGCATGGTGCATGCTGATGCATGGTGATGCATGGTGCAAGGTGAAAAGGAGCAAGCAGTCCAAATTCCACGACCAGCATGAGGCAGAGGCACCAAGGACGTCGCATACCAAGCATTTCCCCTCCCAGTCTGCTGCAGGTCACACACTAATCCCCACTCCCCCAACATTTCCACTCAAACTCCTGACAATGACCCCCACAGACCCCCAGAGCTACCAGATGGCTCCAGAAATGCGCAGCACAGCACAGCAGAGCAGAGAGGGTGGGTTGCTCGGCAGAGCAGTGCAACACTGCAGCAAAGCAGAAGTGCAGCAAAGCAGAAGTGCAGCAGTGCAGCAGTGCAGCAGTACAGCCAGCAACACACACTCCGATGCCACAGCGCAGCAAAGTTCATGACAGGAACCCACCAGCGTTTCAGCAAAGGCGTCCACGGTGCCAAACGACCCCAGCGACGTGAAATCGGCTGCCAAAGGCGTGATGAGGATGGTCACTGCACGGAATCGGGACATTGGGACGACAAGGGACATGCGCGGCGGCAAGAGTGAGTGCAAGGAAATGATCAGAGGGAGTGCCACGCGTGAAACCGCATTGCTTGGCCTGCTGGACAGGACAAAGGCAGAACGAACGACCCTGATTCTCTGGTTTCGTACCAGCACAGGTTGTCATGCAAACGGGTGGAATCAAGTAGCGTTCTTCGTTGTACCACTTCCAGGCCGCGCGGAATCTGAGTCACTAGAGAGAGAGAGAGAAACGCTCACGAGCGTCATGCTACAGGCGGGCTTGAGCATTTCGACACACTCGCTTCCTTCCTTCCCTGATAAACCCTTCCTCCCCAATGAAACCCCCTTTTGAGTGAACCCCCCTCCCTAGTCCCTCCCCTCCCAGTGAACCCTCCCCCTTCCCAGTGAACCCACCCCTTCCCGGTGAACCCACCCCTTCCCAGTGAACCCACCCCTTCCCAGTGAACCCACCCCTTCCCAGTGAACCCAACCCTTCCCAGTGAACCCACCCCTTCCCAATTAACCCACCCCTTCCCAGTGAACCCACCCCTTCCCAATTAACCCACCCCTTCCCAATTAACCCACCCCTTCCCCGTAGACCCACCCCTTCCCCGTAGACCCACCCCTTCCCCGTAGACCCACCGTTAGCATCGGTGCGATCTGGCGGGTGGAAGGCGATCACCTGACGCACTCCCGCCGTGCCCTCGCTGCGCACCCATCCTTGACGCGACGTTCGAGACGGAGAGGGAGGGAGAGAGAGAGAGGGAGAAAGAGAGGGCGGGGCCCAGAGGAGGGGGAGGTAGGGCAGACCATGAGTTATGACGCATTTATTTCAAGTAGTGAGAAGGAAATGGGCTCATAAAATACTGCTAAACTACGGCCTTACCTGCAGGGACCTGGAAGGTATATTTCTCCTTGGGATTCTCGAACGTCACGAAGTCTGAAGCCTCTGCAATGGGAGCACGGATAAGACCAGGAAGGAGGAACTCAAACGAACGGTTGCAACAGATGAGAGCGGCCGGTTAGGACACTGACGCTACCATAGGGAGTCCTTTCCTTTTGGAGCCATCTTCAGCAGGTAAAAAGATATATAAATTCCACAATTTCTGGTATCATCCAATGTGGGCACATATCCAACGGCTGATTCCTTTCGAGGATGTGGTTTTTTAACTGACCTTGCTCCGCGCTAGCTGATCCCACGAGAGTCAACACCAGCGGAGCCGCCAGCGACCCGGCCAACAAATCCCGTCGGTTAACGACGCATGGTCTGTGGGTGAGAATGGTTCAGGCAAGCCAGGAAAGCGATACAATGCGATGTTCAGTCGTTATGGATCTGGCACGGTGCTGGAAGCATACGTCGCAACTGTTGAAATAAAGAGTTATATTTTCTTGTTTTTTTACCGTGCAGCGGAATTAGGCGACTCCGATTCCGATCTAGCGCGCACTGGTCCGACGCAACGAACAGATGGCGACACCGGCTTGGCTAATCTGGGGCCGACGCGAGCGTGGAGCGCGGAGAGTGCGGACGACGAGGCGAGCTGAGACAGCGACGAGGCCATGGTTCGCCGTTTATTCGTCGCGCTGTATGATTAGCAGCTTGGGACTGTTGAACAAGACGACTGTTCTGTTCAGTGAGGCTGCTATGTTTGTGATGAAAAGATGAGTACTGCCTGCGAGTGTCACTCTCAAAGCTGAACGATTCAGTGATCACTGGGGACGCGTCACCTGCGATGGATCATGTATTATCGATCCGCCACCGCGCTGAAGCCCCGATTATTGTTTCCACATCTTTATTGACCCTTTTCAACCTCGCCAAACAACGATCCTGCGCAGGATAGAAAGTAATACAAAATCGGAGGAGGTGACGCGTCCTGAAGGCTGGTCTCCACGACACGATCAGTCCTATTGGCTGAATGTTCCCAGCATACTCGATTGTGCTACATGCATCATTCTTGATACGTGCATCAGCCTGGAATAGTTGGATTAGTGTGAGTTTTTTAACTTGCATCATTACTGACGCGTCTCAACTTGGACTGCGTTTTTTTTTTTTTTTTTTTTTTTTTGTGAAAGCTTATACACCAGGGAGTACAAGCAAAACACAACAGTCGTAACTGTTGGACTGCGTATTGTACTGACATTTGAGAGAGAGTACCTGAAACAGATAGAACAGGAAGCGAGGAGTTCCAGATTCGAAGCATCTCCCTTGGGCGAACTCGCCCTGCTGTCGCAAATTCCTCCACGACAGTCATATTGGTCCGTTGGCAAGTGGACCTGGTAACAGTCCGAGATTGGGCTGTACAACTCGCGGCACTGTAGAGCCTCGTGTCCCTGTCAGGTTTTTGGATTTCGGGCTCCGTTCGGAGTGATTTGTACGTACCTGGAACGTGTGTGTACCGCGCTGCTGTACGTGTTGTTTAACGTAAAACCGGGTCCCGAAACTGCTTACAAACTTTCGGGACACGCCCTTACTTCGAGACTATGTGTAGCAAACGACTAGAAATTTGGTTCGGCACATTCTGTAACGTATTTCGATATTTCGTTGAAAAGTTTGGTGCTTGTGTAGGATGCACAGAGAGGGGTTGGGACAGTCGGGGGGGACCAGGGTCACCTCTGAAACTGCTAGCTGTCTGCCAGAACGTAGGCAAGGGGCGCTAGCCAACCGAATGCGTCCAGGTGTGGCAGATGGGGGGTGAAATGGCGGAGCGCGGAAGGACCCGCAACAGCTATCCCCGCCGAGCCCGACAACCTGCGCCTTTCGGACACGCAGACGGTGGTCTCCGCTGCTCCACATTCAGCACCTGCGCGAGCGCACCTACAAAATATCAGCAAAACTCCCGAGGCGGGCAGATTCACAGGTTCGGTTCGGTTGGGTGATTGACGCGAGTTGGAGTGCCATGATGTCTGTTGGAGCGCACGTGAAGCATGACAACCGCATCATTTTCAACCCGCTGTGCACTCTCTGGAATTTCTGCTCTGAAAGTTGAACATCACGGGCAGGAAAGAGCAAGGCCAGGCGTAGTTTCTTGGGCGCCAAGACGAAGCGAAAGGGCCGATTTGGCACGGCGCACCGACCAGCGAACACTCAGAAGGAGCAGAAACGGCCCAAGATGACCTGATGCACATCCCGTTCAAGTGTACCATCATTCACACGAGTCTGCCCGTGATGGGTTCAACGAATCAAACGCCCTGGCTCCTGCTTTGGAGTTGACTGCGCGAAACCGACGCTTGTGGTGCTGGGTCCTTCCTTCCGCTGCCCGAGCCTCACTCGTGCTCCAGCCCGAGTCCAGAGGAAAACACTGTGCGCCTCGCGTCGCGTCGCATGGAAAATGGTGAAAGGTGTCGCGTGCACGGGCTGAGCGAACCGACGAAAGAATTTGCGATTGAACGAACAATTACGGGTGTGTACACACATGCCTCGCGCACCCATGTGCTTTCTGTTGCTCCCTCCCTTCTCCCCTCGCCCATAATTCTTTCCAGTTCCTTCCATCCCACCACCTATCTGACTGGATTCCAGCTCGTCGTCACATCAGTATAACGAGCTCCTCAACTCGCCTGTATTTCATCCACAGCTTCATTCATCCTGCGAATGTTCCACCAAGAAGGCTGGAAAACCTTCCAACGAAGAGAACGAACGATATACTACCCTGTGACCATCCGACCTTCTTGAGAAGCCCGCACGCACGCAGCAAAACCAGAACCCAACACCTTTCATCACCGACAATTTCCCACGGCGAGTCTAAAAGACCTCGACCTCGTCTCTCGGATTCAGTCCGCTCAGAGCATGGATCACCAAGGGAACGTGGCAACCATGGCGACTTCCCCAGCAAGCAGGCCGCAAAGCGTTCCCCTCAAGAGAAACGCCACCGACTCAAACGCCCAAGCGAGACCACAGGCCCTCAAAAAGACCAAACGAGCACGGAGAGACGACCGCCGAAGCCCAGCTGCCTTCGCACCGACCCTCGCCAGCCCTCCTTACCGACAAGCAGGCACGACTCTCGCTTTTCCTCCGCACCTCTCGACTCCTCTCCCTCCCTTCCAACCCTCTCTTCCTCCTCCGCTTGGACGGCCGCTCATCCGCCTGGCTATTCGTGGGCCGCGATGTCCCCCGTCCACCATAATCACATGCTCTACAATCACTACCTCCAGGGATTCCAACTTCCGGCGTTTCAGAACGGCTCCTGGGCGGTTCCTTCGGCGGTTCCGTCAGCGCTTCCTGCGCTGTCGCCCCTGCCGCTGCGCCAAGAGGGCGCCGACTCAGCTGCAGCCGACGCGAAGGCGGAAATGCAACGTGTCGATTCGTCGACGCACATTAACAGCCTTGTAGCGCAGTACTCGTTCGCGCAAGCTGGTGCAGCCGCCGCCGCCGCCGCCGCCGCTTGCGCTGGTAGCCCGGTTTCCCCCTCCCAGCTCGTCTCGCCGCGTACGGGCTGGCCGCACTCTTTGCGGCGTGCCCCCCGTTCATGGGGCCCATGGGACCGGTTTCATACGCGCCTGGTTTCGGCACAATTCGATCCCCAAAGCCGGCTGAAGGAAGCGCCTCGGCCGGCGGTTCGTCGTCGAGTCACCTGCCGTCGTTGCTCGAGTCGCCTTTGCAGAGCGAGGTTCTGCCTGCTGAATCCGACGGCGAGAGCTGCTGCAAAATCGAGTTGCCGACGGAGCAGATGGACGGAGAGGGAGAGACTGAAGCTGACGAATCCCGAAGGCTTCTTTTCCCCTCAGAGCAACCAGCAACGGACGGTGGGGCGGAAGGGGCGGAAGGGGCGTAACTAAGGGGACTCGCGCCATGCAGCTGTGGCTGGAGGGCGGGGCAGAGGGGGACGTGCAGGGCATGGGCCCGTTTGATTGGCTGGATGAGCCCTCAGGCGCGGAGGAGGCAACGGGGCTTCCGCACTGGGTGCTGGCGGAGCTGGGGGAAGGGGGCGCGGGGAAGAAATCGGGGGAGGCGGTGGAGGAGGAGGTTTACCGTGTGCTGTTCCGTGCTGACTCTATGGAGAGTGCCACAAGCGAGCAGCATGTTACGACTCCTCTGTATGAGACCCCTTTACAAGCACACGAGGCCAAGGATGAGCAGTATGAGGATGAATCTACCCCCACGGGTACCAACAAGGCTGTAACTGGAACGCCTGCAGGAGAGGAGCAGGGATTAAATACTGTCTCCAACGCAGGCAGTGCAGATTTCGGGACTACGAGCATTGGAGATTTGGTGTTGGGAGGGCTTGTTGACAAGCCAAGTGCGCAGGTTCTAGAGGACAGCAGCACTGAGGACATCTGGCACGATGTGAGCGCGTTGTCTGATTTTTTGGCTGCTTCCAGCAGCCCCATTGTGGACAGTGAACTCTGCCTGGAGCTTCAGGATGTTCCGGACTGGCAGTTTTGAGGAAGTATGCACATCCTCTGAGTTGTTTGTTCTATACTTAGACACTCTAATTACTGAGTGCTTGCTGTAATGCTTGTTGTGGAGTCATGTGTGCCTGTCATTTGGTGTATATACTATTTTGTCTGTGAAGCCTTCTTTCTGTGTGGTATGCCATTAGCCAGAAAAATCTTGTGCCCAAGTGAGAATTAGAGTGTGGCATAGCACACATTGTATGAATTTTTGTTCAGACCTCTGAGAGAAAATGAGGGGTTGGCTAAGTAGTGGACATCCGTCTATTGATGGGTGGAGGAGTGGAGGAAGAAAGGGAGCTGATGAGAACGTGGGCACAAAATAGTGTCGGTGCTGGGATTCGAGCCCAGGTCTCCACGGCCACATCGTGGGATTCTAACCGCTTTATTTACAATGTATATGTGTACAAAAGTCTTAAGATAGCCTAGGAGACAAGTGTCGAGAGTAATGTTTGAGTAAGGAGGGACAAGGAGATACAAATGTCGACCTAAAGTGTTGTACCCTTTAGAGGGCAACTCACAGTAGCCTATCTAACAATATATAGAATATATAAACATTTGACACACCCCCATAGGCTAAGTGAGGGGCATCAAAACAACCAACGGAAACAAGGGGTCACAAGACCAGTCAAGAACAAGCATAAAAAACAAAGCTCAGGGTGGCGCTCAGAGTCACCACACACTCCGAGCACAAGCAAGTGGCCACAAGGCCAGTTCAAGAGTTTACTAGAAGCACAACAAGTAGAGCAAACAGCAAGTCTACAGCAACCGAGGGCCTACCTCAACAAGCCGCAACTGCACACAGAACCTGTGGTGGTCACCAGGCGCCAAGGCCTTGGTGAAGACGTCGGCAGTGTTGGCCTGTGAGGCCACAAAGTCCAAACGTGCCTGACCGCGTCGCTGCAACTCTCGCAGGAGGAAGTACCTCACGTCAATATGCTTCACTCTGCTCTCCAGTCGAGGCTCTCGACACAGGAGGATCATGGCCTTGTTGTCAGCGTACAAGGTCGGTGCAGAGCGAGGCCGCTCACCAAGGTCGGCGAGCAAGAAGGTCAACCAGCGAAGCTCCTGTGCCGCCATGGCACCAGCGTAGATCTCTGCCTCTGCACTGGAAGTAGCCACAGACAACGACCGTGTAGACCTCCACGACACAGCACCAGCTCCCAGACTGAAGCAGTAACCCTGAGTCGAACGCTGAGTCTCCACGTCGTCAGCGTAGGAAGAGTCGCAGTGACCAGTCAACGCCACTGGCTGAGTCCCTCCAAGCACAAGCCCCATGCCTGATGTAGTCGCCAGGTACTTCGCCACCCTCACAGCAGCTGTCCAGTGGACAGGGCGGTGTCTCCCAGTCGCAACAAAGCGAGAAAGGATGCTGAGTGGAAAGGCGAGGTCCGGTCGAGTACAAGTCATCAGGTACATGAGGCAGCCCACCAGCTCTGCGTAGGGTCCACTGGACTCAAAGGGCTCGTCAGGAAAGGGGCCCGTGAGTCTGTGGTCAACAGCAAGAGGAGTGGGCTGTGTGGTGGAGAACTGGAAGTCGAACCGCCGAAGGATCTGCTGCACCATGTGTGACTGCGTCAGTGTGATGGTGCGAGCGGCTCTGTCCCGGGTGATCTGCAGGCCAAGGTAGCGCTGCAGCTCACCCAGGTCAGTGCACTTGTGTCTCTTCTGCAGTTCGGACTTCACCTGAGCCAGGGCTGCCCTGTCTGCTGTAGCAAACACCAAGTCGTCGACATAGACAAGGATAAAGAAAGGAGTAGAACCCGCTCGAACAAACAGCGACGGGTCGGCGGAGGACGGGCTGAACCCAAGGTCACGAAGCGTGGAGCGAAGAGTGTCGTGCCACTCACGGGGCGACTGGCGGAGACCGTAGACTGGTCGCCTCAGGCTCCACTGGGTCCCAGGTGGGAAGGTGTCAGTGAAGCCAGGAGGACGGCGCAGCCAGATCTCCTCGTGTAGTCGGCCCTGGAGGAACGCAGTGGAGAAGTCGAGGGAGTGCAGCTCGTAGTCTCGCTGCGCTGCTATGTGGAGTAACACCCGAAGAGTAGTCATCTTCGGGGTCGGGGCGAAGGTCTGGAAGAAGTCAACTCCCTCACGCTGACTGAAGCCCCTAGCCACGTAGCGCGCCTTGAACACCGGCGGTGCTCCAGGCGGCCGCTTCACCTTGAAGAGCCACATGCCATCGACTACGTTCGCCCTGGGAGGGGGAACTGCGTCGACGTAGGTGCCTGTGGATCTCCAAGACGCCAACTCTGAGTCCATAGCCGCTTTCCACTGAGAGGCCCACGCCCCTGACACTGCCTCGCGGTAAGTGCGAGGAGTCGGTATGTCAAGGGCGTCGGGGTCTCCCTCAGGGGAGAGCAGCATGGCACACACAGAGGGAGAAGCGGCTGCCCAGTACTCCAGCTCAGACTCTCTGTCCTCTAGGACGTCACAGCCAAGGGCAAACCCACCCCCGACGGACAGAGGACGGTAGGGAGGAGCTGGCACCACACGGGTGGCGTAGTCAAGGTGGCTGGCGGCAGCAAACTCAGCGACAGCGGCAGTAAGAGCCGAGGCAGACGACGGAGGGAAACGAGAGTCGGTGACAAGAGTGGCGAGGACACGTGCGGCAACAGGACGAACAACGCGGTAGTAGTCAGAGATAGGAGTGGGGAGGGCTGGTAGGGAGGACGGAGGAGGAGACGGGAGAACGGACACAGGAGAAGGAGAACGACGACGAGACGAACAAAGGAGGGCAGTGTGGAGGTCAGTAACAGGGGACGAGTGACGAGCACGCGGAGGACAACGAGTGATCAGGTCGCGACGGACAGAGGGAGGAGGAGAAGACTAGACCGCCGGACGGTCGTCAGGAGGAGGCAACGGAGGAATAAACACAGGAGGAGACTGGGAGCGGACAGGAGGAGAGGAGGAAAGGCCAAGGGCCCGCAGGCCACTCACAGGTGGGAACAACCGCCGCTCCAGAGGAAGCTGCGGTGGCGGCTGCGGCCGCTGCTGCTGCGGCTGCGGCTGCTGCTGCTGCGGCTGCGGCGGCGGCTGCGGCTGCTGCTGCTGCTGCTGCTGCTGCTGCCGCTGCTGCTCCAGAAGGTCCAGCACCCGCAGCTCCTGCCGCTCCCTCTCCAACCGCTCCTGCTCCTCACGCTCACGCCGACGGGCAGCCTGGAGACGCGTGTCGTGGCGGTGGGGAGGCGGAGTGGACTCCGCAGAACCAGGGTCTCCAGCGTCAGTCCCCTCAGACTCAGCACCCCCAGAACCAGCACCGCCAGTGCCAGGACCTCCAACTCCAGCACCCCCAGAACTAGCACCGCCAGTGCCAGCACCCCCAACTCCAGCACCCCCAGAACCAGCACCTCCAGTGCCGGCACCTCCTGCTCCAGCACCCCCAGAGCTAGCGCCACCTGCGCCAGCACCTCCAGCTCCAGCACCCCCAGAGCTAGCGTCACGTGCGCCAACACCTCCAGCTCCAGTACCCCGCGACCGAGCACCCCCAGACCGAGCACCGCCAGCGGCTGCACCTCCAGCTCCAACACCAACCGAGTCCAAAGTAACCTGTCGCGGAAGTGCCGAAGGCTGCTGAGGGGACTGTGAGGAGGACTGCGGGGAGGGAGACGCTACCTGACGCGCGACCGAGGGTAGAGGGGTAGCGTGGGACACACCAGACGGGGCAGGACCTGGGGGGGGCGGGGGTACCGGAGGAGCGGGAGCAGGAGGAGGAGAGGGTGCGAGGAAGAGAGGGGGAGGGGGTACCGGGAGACCTCGACAGGGGTACCGGGTGTAGTAGGACACGGACTCGTCAAACCGGACGTCACGGGAGTCTAGGAACTGGTGGAGGGGAGGGTGGTAAAAGGACCAGTCAGCAGAGTCCACTGGGAAACCAAGGAAGACACATGGGACGGCGCGTGCCGAGAGCTTGTCCGCGGAGGTGTCGCGAACAAGTGCAAGGCAGCCCCAGACTCGAAAGGCCGACCCAACACCAGGGGATCCAGTCCAAAGACTGGTCGGTGAAGCCTCGGGCCGCGAGACACGCGGCTGGAGGTTCAGCTGGTGTGCGGCGTAGCGAACCGCGTGGGGCCACAGAAAATGGGGCGCACGGGCATGAATCATGGACGTGCGGGCGATGTCCATGACCAAGCCTATGCGGCGCTCAGCAACCCCATTCTGCTGTGGGGACTCTGGCAGCGTCCAGGACTGGGTGATGCTCTGTTCGCCGCAGAATCCGCCGAGAATGCCGGAGCGAAACTCGCCCCCACGGTCGGAGTGAAGACAACTGACTCGACGACCACGAGTGCCCTCAGTGGCTAGAAGCCACCTGATCAGCGTAGCAGTCACCTCGGACTTCTTCGCAAGAGGGAACACTATGGTGTACCTGGAGAAGTCGTCGACGACCACCAGAAAGTAACGCTCCCTCCCAGACCCCTGCGTCGGGGCAGGGCCCCAGACGTCCAAGTGGAGAGTCTCGAAGGGAGCGGTGGCCGGACGAAGGGAGGAGGAGTGGGGAGTGGCGCGTAAGCGACCGGCGACGCACGGAGAGCAAGGAGGGGCAAGCGAGAGAGGGAGCGACGGGAAGGTGCGTGGGAGACCTGTGACTAGTCCCTGACTGAGCATGCCACGAAGGCGAGGGATCGACGGGTGGCCAAGACGGTGGTGCCACAGGACGGTGCGGTGGGCGAGAGAGCGACAGGAGCAAGACGCAGCGACTGGACTGGACACAGCGACCGGACTGGACACGACTACCTGGCTAGACACAGCAACTGGACTGGGGACCTGAGCCGGAGGGGACGCAACAACCTGAGGGGAGGACGCGACCGGGGAGCGCTCGGTGTGGAGAACGTAGAGACCGGAGCGGGGCTCCCTGGTGAACGTGGCCAGAACAGCACCTGTGGTAGCGTCAGTACAGACTGCAGTCCGCCCCCCCCCCACAAAGGTAACGGTGATCCCCCTGTCCTGGAGGTATCCAACACCCACCAAGTTCCGAGTGAACGAGGGGATGTG